ACTTCCGATGTTGGCTTGCTCTGGTAACACTTGGAGTTGACGTGCGTAACTCTAACATCAAAAAATGCCGTAACTCCTCTTGCCCAGAAACCTCCCGCTTTGATGTCCAACCTTGCCTCAGAACTTGTAACAGCGCTCCTCAAATGAAAGCGCTCGTTGTCCAGGGGTTGAAGGCGTGGTTCGATTTCGACATTATTGCAGATCTCGTTAACAAGTTCCGTACACCATCATGTCTCTGCGCTACAAACCCCCCCTTTTTATTATATTATTATTATTATTATTATTATTATTATTATTATTATTATTATTATTAATTATCATTTGAAATTTCCTCCAAGCTTCTAAAAGGTCCAAATATACTGAGAAATATTAATGTGTGGTCATGCTTCAGAAATCCACCAAGGAAATAGGCAAAACAGCCCGCTACTGAACTAACCTGTCATGTATCGAAGGTATTTAAAGTTCAACTGTTAACTCAAGGTAATCCGAGAACTCGTCTAAGTATATCCAGGCCTATTTTAAGGAAAAACCCCATCAAAGAAATATCAAATTTTTGGTATCCAGGACTATTCTATGGAAAAACACACATGCACGAAATTTCATATTTTTGACGAAAATCGTCGGTTAAACCCTGCACGAAAATGTAAATTTTTCCACTCTTTTAAATGACATTTTTATAGTCTAAAAAGAATGTTTTTTCACTAAAGTATTATCAAACAGTATATTCAGGCCCATTTTATAGAAAGTTACACTTAAAAGAAATTTCAAATTTTCGACCAAAATCGTGGGTTAACCCCTTTGGGAAAATGCAACTTGTTCGACTTTTAAAAAATGACCTTTTTATAGTCTAGTAAAGATGATTTATCAATAAAACATTATCAAACAATATATAAGGCCTATTCTATAGAAAAATTACACATGAAAGAAATCTTAAATTTTTGACCAAAATCGTGAACCAACCCCTTTGCGAAAGTACAAATTTTCTGACTTTTTGAATATGACCTTTTCAAAGTCTAGAAAGGCTTGTTTTTTTTTCCCCGAAACATCATCAAACAGTATATCCAGGCCTATTCTATAGAAAACACACGTGCAAGAAATTTAAAATTTTTGACCAAAACCTAAGGTTGCCCCGTCGCGCACACTTAAATTTCTAGACTTTTTTAATGACTTTCTTATAGTGTAGAGAGAATTCTTTCTCTCCAATCATTATTAAGCAGTGTATCCAGGCCTACTCTATAAAACAAAACACACATCCAAAAAATTTTTAAATTGCAAAAATGCAAATTTTTTGACTTTTAAAGAAGGACGTTTTTTAACTCAAGAAAGGCTTGTTTTTTCTCTAAAACCTTATCAAACAGTATATAGAGGCATGTTCTACAGAACAACACACATCCAAGAAATTTTACATTTTTGACGAAAATCGTGGGTTAACCCCCTTTGCGAAAATGCCAATTTTTCCAGTTTTTTAAATTGACCTTTTTATAGTCGAGAAAGGCTTGTTTTAGACCTAACAAATTATCAAACAACATCTCCTCGGCTATTCTATAGAAAATTACACATGCAATAAATTTCAAATTTTTGACCAAAAGTAACCCCTCTGCGAAAATGCAAATTTTTCGACTTTTTGGAGAAGGATTTTTTTTTAACTGTAGAAAGGCCTGTTTTTTCTCTAAAACCTTATCAAACAGTATACAGAGGCATGTTCTATAGAAAAACACACATCCAAGAAATTTTAAACTTTTGACCAAAATCGTGGGTTAACCCTTTGCAAAAATGCCAATTTTTCTAGTTTTTTAAAATGACCTTTTCATAGTCGAGAAAGGCTTGTTTTCTACCTAACAAATTATCAAACAATATCTCCTCGGCTATTCTATGGAAAATTACACATGCAATAAATTTCAAATTTTTGACCAAAAATAACCCCTCTGCGAAATTGCAAATTTTTCGACTTTTGAAGAAGGACGTTTTTTAACTCTAAAAAGGCTTGTTTTTTCTCTAAAACCTTATCAAACAGTATATAGAGGCATGTTCTATAGAAAAACACACATCCAACAAATTTTAAATTTTTGACCAAAATCGTGGGTTAACCCTTTACGAAAATGCCAATTTTTTCAGTTTTTTAAAATGAACTTTTTATAGTCAAGAAAACCTTGTTTTATACCTAACATATTATCAAACAATACCTACTGGCCTATTCTATGGAAAATTACACATGCAATAAATTTCAAATTTTTCTCCAAAAGTAACCCCTTGGCAAAAATGCAAATTTTTCGACTTTTGGAGAAGGACGTTCTTTAACTCTTCAAAAGCTTGTTTTTTCTCTAAAACCGTATCAAACAGTATATAGAGGCAGGTTCTATAGAAAAACACACATCCAACAAATTTTAAATTTTTGACTAAAATCGTGGGTTAACCCCTTTGCGAAAAAGCCAATTTTTCCAGTTTTTTAAAATGAGATTTTTATAGTCGAGAAAGGCTTGTTTATACCTAACATATTATCAAACACTATCTCCTGGCCTATCCTTTGGAAAATTATACATGCAATAAATTTCAAATTTTTGACCAAAAGTAACCCCTTTGCGAAAATGCAAATTTTTCGAGTTTTGGAGAAGGACGTTTTTTAACTCTAGAAAGGCTTGTTTTTTCTCTAAAACCTTATCAAACAGTATACAGAGGCATGTTCTATAGAAAAATACACATCCAAGAANTCAAATTTTTGACCAAAAATAACCCCTCTGCGAAATTGCAAATTTTTCGACTTTTGAAGAAGGACGTTTTTTAACTCTAAAAAGGCTTGTTTTTTCTCTAAAACCTTATCAAACAGTATATAGAGGCATGTTCTATAGAAAAACACACATCCAACAAATTTTAAATTTTTGACCAAAATCGTGGGTTAACCCTTTACGAAAATGCCAATTTTTTCAGTTTTTTAAAATGAACTTTTTATAGTCAAGAAAACCTTGTTTTATACCTAACATATTATCAAACAATACCTACTGGCCTATTCTATGGAAAATTACACATGCAATAAATTTCAAATTTTTCTCCAAAAGTAACCCCTTGGCAAAAATGCAAATTTTTCGACTTTTGGAGAAGGACGTTCTTTAACTCTTCAAAAGCTTGTTTTTTCTCTAAAACCGTATCAAACAGTATATAGAGGCATGTTCTATAGAAAAACACACATCCAACAAATTTTAAATTTTTGACTAAAATCGTGGGTTAACCCCTTTGCGAAAAAGCCAATTTTTCCAGTTTTTTAAAATGAGATTTTTATAGTCGAGAAAGGCTTGTTTATACCTAACATATTATCAAACACTATCTCCTGGCCTATCCTTTGGAAAATTATACATGCAATAAATTTCAAATTTTTGACCAAAAGTAACCCCTTTGCGAAAATGCAAATTTTTCGAGTTTTGGAGAAGGACGTTTTTTAACTCTAGAAAGGCTTGTTTTTTCTCTAAAACCTTATCAAACAGTATACAGAGGCATGTTCTATAGAAAAATACACATCCAAGAAATTTTAAATTTTTGACCAACATCGTGGGTTAACCCATTTGCGAAAATGCCAATTTTTATATATTTCTAAAATGACCTTTTTATAGTCGAGAAAGGCTTGTTTTATAATTAACATATTATCAAACAGTATCTTCTGGCCTATTCTATGGAAAATTACACATGCAATAAATTTCAATTTTTTTAAAAGTGAAATGCATCATTTGAATTCTTTTCGATCACAGTGTACGTTACATTAGAGTCTATATTTATGCCAACACCTCCCGCTGAAATGGGTGTCGACACAAATTCAAAATTATACCCAGGTATTGCAGGGTTAGAAGTAATATTAGCATTTCTAATTCTCGTTTCTCTAATGCTAATAACATTGAAGTGACAGTTAACCTCAGTCAAGCTCGTTCAATAAATGAGTTTGAAAGTTTTCAAGATTGTGCCTGAGACTACGTATATTGAGCTGTATTAAAGAAAACTGCTGAGTTTTTGATTGACTGTTTATCTTATCTTTGAATTGACAAAAGCTATATCAGCAGCTATCAGCGTCAGAGTTAGTCTTTTCATCAAGATTTAAAGAGATCAATGTCATGAAGGCTAGGCAAACGCTCTCGATACGTTTTGGTTGGGAGATCATTAAACCGGATGAGGTTGTTTAATTGCCTACGGGCATAAGGCAGTTCGCGAAGCAGATTTTTGTTTTACATTGCTGGAGTTCTGTATGACATTGCAAAGATGATCAAACAGATATACATAAACTGTAGAGATGATCAGAAATAAAGGTATTAATCCTGACTACTTATCTCAGCTGAGGAGTTCAACCTGCTGTTCTGCTCTTGTCTCGTTAGGTTGGCGAGATGTTCGACGTTCCTAACTCTGATAGGACAAGAATCGGCAAACTTGCGCTGAAGGATAGATCCACTCTTCACCCAACAGAACGCATAGTGATATTTATTCTAGAAAGCAAATGCATCCATATGGAGTTTTTTTATCCTGGAAGTGAGATGATCTACCACCCTTGCGTTCGCCATGCTTATGTTCTCGTCTAAACGGATAGCGGTCGCGCTGAACTTACTGGTCTCCCTGCACGCCACAATTACTTCATTTCTAGCCATCCGCCTTGTAAGCTTACATACATTGCCAATTGATTTGGGACCTCCCCGAGTTGAATCTAGAGGTGGGACGCGGTCTGCAATGTCGACATCGTCAAAGAAACCGACACACCCATAGCGTTAAATAATCTAACACAGCCTGCTGGTATCTACCAAGAGAGAATAGATCATTCTCTCTTGTATCTACAGGGGCACCCAATGAGAATATAGTTCAAAACCACTAAAACATAGCATTGCTAAACGTATTTTGGTATTTAAACGGTAGATATAGGCATATTTTTATCCCCTAAAAATTTTTCATCTGTTCGGATCTCCTAGCTGAAAGTCTAGTGATCCGAAAATTATAGGGATCAAAACTTACCTTTTCGAAAATTTCAGCCAGAAAAAAGGCTCCAGAAAATTCTAGGTGACCTTTTTAGGGTAAAAATCCGTTAAAAATAGGCAATTATACCATATTTTAGATGTTCGAAATCCTAGGAGAAGCAGGCAAGCAAGAAATTTTACAACAAATGTTCCGAAAATTCTAGATCTCAAATCGTCTTCCGAAAAGATATTTTTCCGAAAATTGTCGTTAGGTGCCCCTGTATCTACTGCGTTCTCAGAGTCGTTAAATTCTGGGACGCCGAGCAGTTTAACTTTGAACGAGTAACTATAATCCTGAAGCTCATCAGCTATAGATTCTAGCTTAAGCAGTCGTTCTTCGATGTTTGTAAGAGATGCCTCTATTTTTCTAACTGGACCATGGGAACATCATACCCATGGCCACTGAACTTAAGGCTCGCTTCGGCCTCTCGATTCAAGATGGCGGACGAAGCACTGCTATCACTGACATTTCTCACACTATATTCTTGCTCTGAAACTCATTGCTCCAGGTTCTTCAAATATCTCTTTGGTTCCTCAAGCTGCTTCTTCAGCACTCCCACGGTGGTCGGTTGCTAGGGCTTTTGCTCCCATACCTCTCAAAACTGAGAGTTTAAGGCCATAGAGAGAAGTAGAATGCATCGAATGTAACAAAACTTGGCAAGGAAGTAAGTTGATCAATTACCTATTTATTGGTTTTATTTCATACCATGTGACTTCTATTGTGACGTCATAAATGATGTCCAAATTTGGCATCAGAAAGAAAATTCAGGAAAGAAATGCTAAAAATTTTACATTAGTTTTCTGTATAGAATTCTATGATTTCTGGTGAAAACCCCATCTCAATCGGATGAAAAGGCGAAAAGTTACATTTAATTAAAGAAATTCAAATATCCCGCCAAATGACCATATATGGTCAAACTTTAGGGGTATTTTAACACGAAAACAATGAAGGTAGTCGCAACGGAGTAAAGACAAATTTACATAAAAACAAAATTGTAGTTTTTTGAGTTTAGGATGTGTGGTCTATGACGCGTATTTCGTCACGAATTACGTCATTTTGACGTCATAATGACGTAATTTGTGACGAAATACGCGTCATAGCATCACATATGCCGAATTCAAAAAACTACAATTTTGATTTTATGCAGCTTTGTCTTTTTTCCGTTGGAAATACATTCATTGTTTTCGCGTTAAAATACTCCTAAAGTTTGACCATATATGGTCATGAGGCGGGAAATTTGAATTTCTTTAATTACCTGTAACTTCACGCCATTTTATCCGATTGAGATGGGGTTTTCACTGTAAATATTGTTTTTCTGTAACAAAAATGTTTGTAGCATTTTGAAAACTGCTTATCAAATTTTTAACGTTGTTACTAAAAATAGGTGTCACTTATGACGTCATACTTTCAAGAAAAGTCAAAAATACCTTTACAATTGTAAAAATTTAAAGAAAACTTTTCTCCAATTAAGATGTTCTAATGTTTTGCTTCATTTGAAATATAAACTACCCCTCTGTAAGCCAGGAATTGAATTTAAGAACCAAACGGGAGCAAAAGCCCTAGCAACCGACCATCGTGTCCGTTGCTTTTCTTGAGGGATTTGACAGGATCAGGCAATAGAAATTCTGAAATCTTTCGTCAGTAACAGAGAGCGTAAAGAGACACGTCCTGCGGATCCAGGATTTTTTTTAGGAGGGGGTGCACTCGTGTCTTGCTCTACTTCAACACCAATAAGCCACAATTTTTTTTTGCAGAATACTAGTTGTATTAGAAAACCGCAGGTCATCTCAGGGGGGAGGGGGGGGTGCGCACCCCCTGCATCCTCCCCCTAGATCCGCCCATGCTGGGATTACTTGTTCCGAAAATTCGAACTGGTGGCTCGTTGTAGCTCAGAGCAATTTGCTTTTTGGAATTCCAAAACAATTTCACAGACTCTTAGTAACTGACTTCTGCTCCAAAGATTTCTGTGAAATTTCTCTGGCATATTTATTATATCAATAAAAGCCGATAATAGAAATTTCAGTCAAAAATATTCGCAAACATTTTTAATAGACGCGATTTTAAACAGTAGGGTAATTTCCCAGGAATATTTATTAGCAATGAAATCGAAATAATTCTTATTAATGCTGAGAGATATCTGTTGCTCTTTACAAAGTTTCGGAGCCATCGCGTCAAAAACAGAAAAGTTATGACAAAAACTTCGTCATAGCTCAATGCGCCTATTTTAATGACGGAGCCACCTTAAGGTGGCTCGACCCAGTATTTTTGCAGGCATACTTTTCATCTTTGGACCTCTTGTACCGACAACAGCTTGGTCTTAAAACATTAAAACACATGAATTACTCATAGACTGAACTTGATTATGATGTTATTTTTTCGCGATTGGAATGAATATCACGTGACGATGACGTCACAATGGTTATTGCTCTTAATCAAATTGCAGTCGATATTCCCATTTTCTCTGGAAATGCTCTACGCTATGTAAATTTTGGCTGCTTGCCTTCTGCTGTGCCAAGTTTCACAAAAATATGTGAGTGGAATTTCTACATGAAGGCTATATTTTATGCGTAAACTGAATACTGGACTTAATACAAGCAAATTTGCTAATTGATGTATGTTTCTAGAAATGTTTTCCCACTCATTCTTAATTAAACTATCTCCCAACCACTAGGAGAAAGTAGACTTGAAAAACAGGAAAGTAAACGTATTAGGGTACGTAAAACTCAATGCTGACGTCTTTTTACAATTTGTAACTAAAGGCTACTTTCACGAAAACCGCGATAAAATCAAAATTCGTCGAAAATTCGTCGAATTTCATGACCATTTAAAACTTGAAATTGTCTAAGGTTGCATAAATATTGAAGCCTTGTTACAGTTTTGGATAATATTGTGCTCTGGGATTTCCTGTTGTCTCGAGCTTAGCACAACATGTCACGCCATTGTCACAGAAGGAAATCCTGAGCCGATTTTAATTTAAACATTGAGTATCACAGGCTAATTTCATGAGGGTAGTCCACCTACTTTGCTTGTTTTGAATGGCTAGTTTCATACATGCTAGTACTTGATTTACTCCTTTTGGGCCAGACTTTCACACGATAGATTAAGTATTCCATCTGATACATTATTTCTGGTTTAACTGCATGAAAAACATATGGGTATTCCGAGCAGTTTTCAGCGCCCTCTTTATAGAATTTCGGGTACCACCCTGGAAACGTAATGGGGATCAAATGCCACTCAAGTGGAAATGCCATAAAAGTTTCATTGCCGCTGGAATCTGTGGTTCTAACGGGCACGACACCCTGTGCCCTGAGGCATTGTCCGACTGCTACGTCCTCAAAAGGGTGGTGTTGTGGGCAGCTTGGTTCACCCAGTGCTTTTTTAAACCTTCGCAGTGTTTCACGACTAAAAACGTATCCTGCGCCACTGTTGTACACACCCTCGTGAGTTAAAATTCTGCCAAGGTAATGAGGTTCCGAGGTATTCAATTTGGATAGATAAGAACGAAGATTTTCAATGATGGCGTAAGTGTCATCGTCCGCTTTAAAGAACCAATCAGCATCGTTGAGATGGTGGTTATAAATATACTCCAGTGATGCTCTAGTTTTGTCAAACAACTTTTCACGCCCCTCTTCAACATTAAGCCCAATGGCGGGGAAATTGAGATCCTCTTTTGAGCTGAAAAACAGAAGGGTGTCGCAGCGCTTTCCCCACGTATCTTTGACTGATTTTGCTCTTTTAGGTATGTTGTCTGGAGTTGTCATTATCCAACATAAGATTCGTGTCTTGTTAACTTCAGGGGTCAAATAACCTCTCTCCTCTCGTTGAATGCTGAATCTTTTTGGTTCGGGAGGACGATAATACGCGTTAGTCTTATACTTGCTGACGTTTCTCTGAGTAGCTATTTTTGCGGTGTGCCCAGTTTCGATGTACTCGTGCATAAACTGCATGTAATTATAGTGTTCAAATATGAACATAGTTAAAACTCCCAGTACCATTCCCCAAGCAAAAGTGGAAAGCGTCGAGGCTGAAGAGGAAATCATGATGTCCTTTCAGTAATTTATTGCCAGCAGTCTCTCCTAAAATGTCTTCCGTTACGTTAGAAAAAACCTGAAAAGAAACGAAAAATATTATACAACTATCCCCCGACGGCGAGGTGAAAAGTGGTAATATATACCGCGACGCGAAGCGTCGAGGTATATATCTAGCACTGTTCACCGACGCTGAGGGGGATAGTTGTTTTAGTATTTACCAAATCAGTTGGATAAAAATGAAAAAAGGCAACTTTTCTGTATTTTAAAAACGCCACTCAGTAGGAGATTTGTTTACAATTTACAAACATTTTCGGGGGTTTTGTCAAGTTCGTTTTTACGATTTTGTTGCAAATTCAGCAAGAAAATATATTTCTGCCTACCAGTAAACGCCGACAAGCTAAAGTTCGTCGCTTTCTTGGCATTTGTTCGTACGACTTCTTCATTTATCACTCAAATTTCGTCTTCCGAAAATGTCTCGAAGCGAGACGCCATCTTGGCTTCGGTTGCAAAACAGTGCATAGCCAAGGATATTCCGAGTTAAGGGAGCCAATCAGAACGCGCGAAAATTGCTATCCACTCATTTGGTGAATAATAATACTAGCTATTTATAGTTCTAGTATTGTCTTTCTTAGCCGTGGAAGTGAAGATATTTTTTTTAGTTAAAACTAACAAGACCCCCATAATAGGGTTCATTGGGCTGCCGATTGCCCGATAAAACTTCGAAATATTTTCAAATATAAGCAAGTTGTAGGGTCTAGAGAGAGTGTTTCAACCGGTTTTATCTGGTTAAAAAAATGCGAAATTTCACATCACAAACCAACGAGTGTAACCCCCTGCACACTTTGGGACGTATTTATAATTTTAGCAGTGCCGAGTGAACGAGATTTGTGTATAAATTTCGAACTGCCACTTTATGGAAGGCTTACCTTTTTTATTTTAAGCGTTCTGGAATGTTATTGTCGTAGCGGCACCTAATTAAATATGTCGTTTCGCATCGTGATCATGGACGTATTGAAATCTGTGCGGCTCAATCAACAGAGATGAAAAACATTCTGGAACCGTATTCACAGTCTACATATCTTTTTTAGGTGAAAATATCCCCCAAATCGTCGGTCGGCGGCGCGGATTGTACCATAGCAAAAATATATTCGACATATGTAAACAATAAGAAATTCACATATTTGATCATAGTAGCACTTTTTAAACAATGTATGCTAAAATCTCAAACGTGGTAAACCACTGTTTTCAGGGTTAGAAAACAATGGGACCATTGTCGTCTCGTTCTTATTTGCATGTCCACAGCAGTTTGCATTTTGTACTGACCGGAAAACAGATAACATTTCTTTAAGTTCCACCTTTCTTTATTATGGATGGCAAAAATCATGTCTGCTCCATAATGTAGGTGTTTTCTGCTGAAAAACGCTATTCAAAACAACATAGCCAACAAAAACAGCGAAACTTATAGTAATTTGGCTCTTGAATCCACGAGAGGCATAATGAGTTAACTTGTCGTTAAAATGCTCTTGCTTGGCACAAGCACTCTGTTTCGTTTTATTAAACTGTGAAGAGGCCAAATCAATGAGCAAATGTTGCGCTTTATTCGCCCTCAACTCATTATCCGTGAAGGCCGCAAACATCAAAGATAAAAATAACTGTGCTTCAGCCCTATTCATTAGCATTTACATTTATATATCATCTTGCAACACCCATAACAGACATGTTCGCAAACTCCTAACTAAAAACTAAAGGGAAACCGGTCGTTTCGCCTACAAGTCGTTTCGCCTACAAGTCGATTCGCCTAAACTGACGTCGATTCGCCTACATGATCTGAGTTGTTTCACTGAAGTTAAGATAAATAAGACTGAAGCTTACCTGTTGTGATAAAACTCAAGCTTACCCGTCGTGACATGATCTCAGTGCGAAGACTAGGTTATAGTATATTATGCGTTTTTGTCATACAAGCGTACTTGCTTGATTTGGGATGGATCGTCTTTTCACGTGACATGATCTCAGCGCGTAGACTAGGTTCTAGTTTATTATGCGTGTTTTGTAATACAAGCGTACTTTAATATGAGATTGATATTTGTGCATTTGGGATGGATCGTCTTTACACGTCCACGCGCGGTTTGGTGCGTTCCGGTTTGCCGAAATTTCGTTTTATTTCCATCAACAACTTTAAGTTACATAAAAACAAATGTTCCAACGTGAGCAGGGTATGAACAGTTAGACAAAACAAAGTTTACCTCTCAGAAAACACGCGCGCGTGTTATTGTAATGTAAATAATTATCTTCAGTTATCACCTATTTAGTGAATGAAAGAAAATAACAAATCACGGTTAAGATGAATTTAATGTGATCCTAATGAATTAATCAAACAACTGCTCGTATGTATAAGTAAATGAAAGACTAATTCAATAGAATCATTCGATCATTGATCACCATACGAGAACCATCTCTTCATCTTCATCCGAAAACTCTCTTGCCGAAAATTAATTCAAGAATGGCCGACAACTGCATCCAGTGTCAACAACCCGTCACAGCAAAACAACAAGGAATTCAGTGCGACGGTTGCTTCAAATGGAATCACAGAACTTGTAATACTGGTAAGTGAAAACTTCCATACTGTACTTCATTTATTACAGCCGAGGATCCGAGCAGCCAATCTTTGCTAGATGAAATCGTTGCGCAGCTTACATTTTTTTTTTTCGCAGGTATTTCTCAACAAGAATATCGCGCTGCTGTGCGCGCAGGTGGCGAGATCGTCTGGTTCTGTCCACTTTGTCCCTTGGCTGAAAGCTCTAGAATCTCCATGACAGAGTCATCAGCAGACATTCTAGAGTCAGAAGAGTTCAACCCTCCTTTGAGAGATTCGTTCGCGGACCAATCGACGATTTACGGTCCCCAGGCACAGCCAGCAATTGAAGAGTCCAGTGAGGAAGCTATGGTAGGTCTTAAACTGTTTTAAAGACTAAGAATGAGGAGATCTTGAAACTATACAAAATTAGTGGTCTTCAAACATTACTTTAAGCTAAGGTTTAGTTTGGTGAAATGTATATTCTGGTAAAATCGATGTTACCAATTTCCCGTGAAAGTGACATTTTGCGCGTTTAAGATTCTTGGTTTTGCGAAATTACTTCAAGGTAGTGTCAAAAAGTAGCTTGATATTATGTTTGCTGTACTGTATCGAAACACCTTAAAAGCCCTGTTGATGTATCGCACGCTTTAACATGAGAGGCGGTGAGAGGCGTATGTTCTAAATTTTAATTCTTTTTTCAGGAATGGACAGGTGGCGAAGCGTCAATTTCAGACCCGCGCATCCAGGACCTAACTGCGGATGACCCTCCTGAATTAACTTATCAATTGGTAGAAGGTGGTACGAAGCGCGCCAAAACCAGACTTGCAGATAGTGACGGGTACACCTACAACGTACAGCTTCGCAGACCCAATTCCACGTACTGGCAATGCACGGTCGTTTGTGTTCGGTCAGTCGCGTGCTTAGGTTTCTGCCGGTGTCACCAATGTAAGAAGCCTGGCAGTCGCAGCATTTGATCTTGTATACCGCTCCCCGTCTGTCCTCCGGTTTGTCTTTGTCCTTGAAGTTAGTAAGCTTTCCTCGGCCCCTCGCTCGCGCGTTCTCGCGAGGCTCGCTTCGCTTGCCCAAATAGGAGAGCTTGCTCGCAGGCTAGTCTTTTGGAGAAGGACATTTTTTAACTCTAGAAAGGCTTGTTTTTTTTCTTAAACCTTACCAAACAGTGTATAGAGGCATGTTCTATAGAAAAACACACATCCAACAAATTTTAAATTTTTGAGTAAAATCGTTGGTTAACCCCTTTGCGAAAAAGCCAATTTTTCCAGTTTTTTAAAATGAGATTTTTATAGTCGAGAAAGGCTTGTTTATACCTAACATATTATCAAACACTATCTCCTGGCCTATCCTTTGGAAAATTATACATGCAATAAATTTCAAATTTTTGACCAAAAGTAACCCCTTTGCGAAAATGCAAATTTTTCGACTTTTTGAGAAGGACTTTTTTTTTAACTGTAGAAAGGCTTGTTTTTTCTCTAAAACCTTGTCAAACAGTATACAGAGGCATGTTCTATAGAAAAACACACATCCAAGAAATTTTAAATTTTTGACCAACATCGTGGGTTAACCCATTTGCGAAAATGCCAATTTTTATATATTTTTAAAATGACCTTTTTATAGTCGAGAAAGGCTTGTTTTATAATTAACATATTAACAAACAGTATCTTCTGGCCTATTCTATGGAAAATTACACATGCAATAAATTTCAATTTTTTTAAAAGTGAAATGCATCATTTGAATTCTTTTCGATCACAGTGTACGTTACATTAGAGTCTATATTCATGCCAACACCTCCCGCTGAAATGGGTGTTGACACAAATTCAAAATTATACCCAGGTATTGCAGGGTTAGAAGTAATATTAGCATTTCTAATTCTCGTTTCTCTAATGCCAATAACATTGAAGTGACAGTTAACCTCAGTCAAGCTCGTTCAATAAATGAGTTTGAAAGTTTTCAAGATTGTGCCTGAGACTACGTATATTGAGCTGCACTAAAGAAAACTGCTGAGTTTTTGATTGACTGTTTATCTTATCTTCGAATTGACAAAAGCTATATCAGCGTCAGAGTTAGTCTTTTCATCAAGATTTAAAGAGATCAATGTCATGAAGGCTAGGAAAACGCTCTCGATACGTTTTGGTTGGGAGATCATTAAACCGGATGAGGTTGTTTAATTGCCTACGGCACAGAGTAATATTATGTCCAAAATAAGGCAATTCGCGAAGCAGATTTTTGTTTTACATTGCTGGAGTTCTGTATGACATTGCAAAGATGATCAAACAGATATACATAAACTGTAGAGATGATCAGAAATAAAGGTATTAATCCTGACTACTTATCTCAGCTGAGGAGTTCAACCTACTGTTCTGCTCTTGTCTCGTTAGGTTGGCGAGATGTTCGACGTTCCTAACTCTGATAGGACAAGAATCGGCAAACTTGCGCTGAAGGATAGATCCACTCTTCACCCAACAGAACGCATAGTGATATTTATTCTAGATCTACCACCCTTGCGTTCGCCATGCTTATGTTCTCGTCTAAACCGATAGCGGTCGCGCTGAACTTACTGGTCTCCCTGCACGCCACAATTACTTCATTTCTAGCCATCCGCCTTGTGAGCTTACATACATTACCAATTGATTTGGGACCTCCCCGAGTTGAATCTAGAGGGGGGACGCGGTCTGCAATGTCGACATCGTCAAAGAAACCGACACACCCATAGCGTTAAATAATCTAACACAGCCTGCTGGTATCTACCAAGAGAGAATAGATCATTCTCTCTTGTATCTACAGGGGCACCCAACGAGAATATAGTTCAAAACCACTAAAACATAGCATTGCTAAACATATTTTGGTATTTAAACGGTAGATATAGGCATATTTTTATCCCCTAAAAATTTTTCATCTGTTCGGATCTCCTAGCTGAAAGTCTAGTGATCCGAAAATTATAGGGATCAAAACTTACCTTTTCGAAAATTTCAGCCAGAAAAAAGGCTCCCGAAAATTCTAGGTGACCTTTTTAGGGTAAAAATCCGTTAAAAATAGGCAATTATACCATATTTTAGATGTTCGAAATCCTAGGAGAAGCAGGCAAGCAAGAAATTTTACAACAAATGTTCCGAAAATTCTAGATCTCAAATCGTCTTCCGAACAGATATTTTTCCGAAAATTGTCGTTAGGTGCCCCTGTATCTACTGCGTTCTCCGTTCTCCGTTAAATTCTGGGACGCCGAGCAGTTTAACTTTGAACGAGTAACTATAATCCTGAAGCTCATCAGCTATAGATTCTAGCTTAAGCAGTCGTTCTAGGATGTTTGTAAGAGATGCCTCTATTTTTCTAACTGGACCATGGGAACATCATACCCATGGCCACTGAACTTAAGGCTCGCTTCGGCTTCTCGATTCAAGATGGCGGACGAAGCACTGCTATCACTGACATTTCTCACACTATATTCTTGCTCTGAAACTCATTGCTCCAGGTTCTTCAAATATCTCTTTGGTTCCTCAAGCTGCTTCTTCAGCACTCCGTTGCTTTTCTTGAGGGATTTTACAGGATCAGGCAATAGAAATTCTGAAATCTTTCGTCAGTAACAGAGAGCGTAAAGAGACACGTCCTGCGAATCCAGGATTTTTTTTAGGAGGGGGTGCACTCGTCTCTTGCTCTACTTCAACACCAATAAGCCACAATTTTTTTTGCAGAATACTAGTTGTATTAGAAAACCGCAGGTCATCTCAGGGGGGAGGGGGGGTGCGCACCCCCTGCACCCTCCCCCTAGATCCGCCCCTGCTGGGATTACTTGTTCCGAAAATTCGAACTGGTGGCTCGTTGTAGCTCAGAGCAATTTGCTTTTTGGAATTCCAAAACAATTTCACAGACTCTTAGTAACTGACTTCTGCTCCAAAGATTTCTGTGAAATTTCTCTGGCATATTTATTATATCAATAAAAGCCGATAATAGAAATTTCAGTCAAAAATATTCGCAAACATTTTTAATAGACGCGATTTTAAACAGTAGGGTAATTTCCCAGGAATATTTATTAGCAATGAAATCGAAATAATTCTTATTAATGTTGAAAGATATCTGTTGCTCTTTACAAAGTTTCGGAGCCATCGCGTCAAAAACAGAAAAGTTATGACAAAAACTTCGTCATAGCTCAATGCGCCTATTTTAATGACGGAGCCACCTTAAGGTGGCTCGACCCAGTATTTTTGCAGGCATACTTTTCATCTTTGGACCTCTTGTACCGACAACAGCTTGGTCTTAAAACATTAAAACACATGAATTAATCATAGACTGAACTTGATTATGATGTTATTTTTTCGCGATTGGAATGAATATCACGTGACGATGACGTCACAATGGTTATTGCTCTTAATCAAATTGCAGTCGATATTCCCATTTTCTCTGGAAATGCTCTACGCTATGTAAATTTTGGCTGCTTGCCTTCTGCTGTGCCAAGTTTCACAAAAATATGTGAGTGGAATTTCAAGATATCGTGGAATTTCTACATGAAGGCTATATTTTATGCGTAAACTGAATACTGGACTTAATACAAGCAAATTTGCTAATTGATGTATGTTTCTAGAAATGTTTTCCCACTCATTCTTAATTTAACTATCTCCAAACCACTAGGAGAAAGTAGACCTGAAAAACAGGAAAGTAAACGTATTAGGGTACGTAAAACACAATGCCGCTGACCTCTTTTTACAATTTGTAACTAAAGGCTACTTTCACGAAAACCGCGATAAAATCAAAATTCGTCGAAAATTCGTCGAATTTCATGACCATTTAAAACTTGAAATTGTCTAAGGTTGCATAAATATTGAAGCCTTGTTACAGTTTTGGATAATATTGTGCTCTGGGATTTCCTGTTGTCTCGAGCTTAGCACAACATGTCACGCCATTGTCACAGAAGGAAATCCTGAGCCGATTTTAATTTAAACATTGAGTATCACAGGCTAATTTCATGAGGGTAGTCCACCTACTTTGCTTGTTTTGAATGGCTAGTTTCATACATGCTAGTACTTGATTTACTCCTTTTGGGCCAGACTTTCACACGATAGATTAAGTATTCCATCTGATACATTATTTCTGGTTTAACTGCATGAAAAACATATGGGTATTCCGAGCAGTTTTCAGCGCCCTCTTTATAGAATTTCGGGTACCACCCTGGAAACGTAATGGGGATCAAATGCCACTCAAGTGGAAATGCCATAAAAGTTTCATTGCCGCTGGAATCTGTGGTTCTAACGGGCACGACACCCTGTGCCCTGAGGCATTGTCCGACTGCTACGTCCTCAAAAGGGTGGTGTTGTGGGCAGCTTGGTTCACCCAGTGCTTTTTTAAACCTTCGCAGTGTTTCACGACTAAAAACGTATCCTGCGCCACTGTTGTACACACCCTCGTGAGTTAAAATTCTGCCAAGGTAATGAGGTTCCGAGGTATTCAATTTGGATAGATAAGAACGAAGATTTTCAATGATGGCGTAAGTGTCATCGTCCGCTTTAAAGAACCAATCAGCATCGTTGAGATGGTGGTTATAAATATACTCCAGTGATGCTCTAGTTTTGTCAAACAACTTTTCACGCCCCTCTTCAACATTAAGCCCAATGGCGGGGAAATTGAGATCCTCTTTTGAGCTGAAAAACAGAAGGGTGTCGCAGCGCTTTCCCCACGTATCTTTGACTGATTTTGCTCTTTTAGGTATGTTGTCTGGAGTTGTCATTATCCAACATAAGATTCGTGTCTTGTTAACTTCAGGGGTCAAATAACCTCTCTCCTCTCGTTGAATGCTGAATCTTTTTGGTTCGGGAGGACGATAATACGCGTTAGTCTTATACTTGCTGACGTTTCTCTGAGTAGCTATTTTTGCGGTGTGCCCAGTTTCGATGTACTCGTGCATAAACTGCATGTAATTATAGTGTTCAAATATGAACATAGTTAAAACTCCCAGTACCATTCCCCAAGCAAAAGTGGAAAGCGTCGAGGCTGAAGAGGAAATCATGATGTCCTTTCAGTAATTTATTGCCAGCAGTCTCTCCTAAAATGTCTTCCGTTACGTTAGAAAAAACCTGAAAAGAAACGAAAAATATTATACAACTATCCCCCGACGGAGAGGTGAATAGTGGTAATATATACCGCGACGCGAAGCGTCGAGGTATATATCTAGCACTGTTCACCGACGCTGAGGGGGATAGTTGTTTTAGTATTTACCAAATCAGTTGGATAAAAATGAAAAAAGGCAACTTTTCTGTATTTTAAAAACGCCACTTAGTAGGAGATTTGTTTACAATTTACAAACATTTTCGGGGGTTTTGTCAAGTTCGTTTTTACGATTTTGTTGCAAATTCAGCAAGAAAATATATTTCTGCCTACCAGTAAACGCCGACAAGCTAAAGTTCGTCGCTTTCTTGGCATTTGTTTGTACGACTTCTTCATTTATCACTCATATTTCGTCTTCCGAAAATGTCTCGAAGCGAGACGCCATCTTGGCTTCGGTTGCAAAACAGTGCATAGCCAAGGACATTCCGAGTTAAGGGAGCCAATCAGAACGCGCGAAAATTGCTATCCACTCATTTGGTGAATACTAATACTAGCTATTTATAGTTCTAGTATTGTCTTTCTTTGCCGTGAAAGTGAAGATATTTTTTTTAGTTAAAACTAAAACTCATTCTATTACTTGGCAATTTAAAACAATAAAAAATCATTCAAAGGCCGATCAAAAGCCTTTATCCGACGTCGGGCAGTAAGTTAGTGGTCCCTAGAAGCATTTCAACGAGTCCAAATTTAAAGTGATGCAAAGTTTAGAACATTTATTCAGACTCTGTGAAGCTTCAAACCGGTGTCATTTTAGTCTAGAAATTTTTAAGTTAAGTGAAATGCAGCCAAAAAGTGCCTGGCTAAGGCTTACTTAACGACTTAAATAGTTAGAAAAATACTACTGTTTTAACGGTCCGATAAACGTGGATTTCGCATGGAAAGACAACAAACTGATTGAAACATCGTACACAAATTACCGTAAAATTCCGAAAATAAGCCCCTCCATGTATAATAAGCCCCTCCAAATAAAAGCCCCCAGACTCGTAACGCAAAAAACCCTTCGTTAAATCGCCACTCCAAATATTGGGAATTGCCCTTAAATTCAAAATAAAACAAAGCAAAAACTGTGCACTAACACATAAAGAACTATTACGTGTGCCAAATGATTGTACAGATGTAGTCCAAAAGTGTCACAGTATATTGCTGTTTGCCTATGATCCTCGTTCCATATAGCCAAAGTACTTGTATGACTGAGTTTTAGTAAGATCTTCCTCTTCAAGGCGAGATTCAGAAAAAAAAATATCTGCAAATTACTGACATTTATACTACCGCATGAGAATTTTCTGCAATTTGATTGGCTTAGAGCAGTGGTATTTCAGCTTAATTTGAAATACCCACATGTGAAAATTACAAACCTTTTAAGGGTAGTAGTATAAACAACTAATAGCATGATTTGAACGTGATATTTGGCATAAATACCAATCGTGATATTTCAAAATTGTCTCAAATTTCACGAGCCGTTAGGCGAGTGAAATTACGTATAACAATTTTGAAATATCACTCGTGGTATTTATGCCAAATATCACTGCAAATCATGCTATTACCTACACAAATTTCCTATAAACTATAAGCTAGCCCAATCGATTTTGAGACGTAAATTTCCCTCCCAGTATAAGCCTAGCCGATTTTGAAACGCAAATTTCCCGCTGTATGTAAGCACCTCGAAAAATAAGCCCCTCAAAAAAGGGCCTTTGAAAAATATAAGGCCCGAGGCTTTTTTTCGAAATTTTACGGTATCATCTTCTTTTGTGCAAAAACCGGGCTAAATGGTTCAAAGTACCGGGAAGAGTAAATTAAATTGCGTTCTTCGATGTAATTCATCATTCTGGTATACATAAGCCTTTCAAATATTCTGTTAAAGTTTGAAAATAAAGATATAGGTCTATAATTATTCACTGGTCGGTCTCATCATCGGATTTAAAAACAGGCACAATTTTAGACTATCTCAATTCTGTAGTGTATCTCCCTAGGCCGATAGAAATATTGAATAGTTTTGAAAGAACAGGGACTATGATGTTAATTGAGCATTTTAGTAACTTTGTCGGAGAGGAGTATAAACCGAATGATCTGTTATAAGGTAGAGCATAGTGGGTAGAGAAGATATTTCACTCTTTACACAATCATATGTTATTGGTTCAAAAAAGAAAGATGGCATTGGAGACAATTTTGTTAAAAAAGTTGAGATAATGTTGTTGGGAGGAAGGAATCTTAGACCCTGTTTACATGGAGTGGGGGACCCCGGTCTAGTGGGGTAAGTTTCTTTTGTTTTGTGTTCCCCAGAGCGTGAAAACAAAAGAAACTTACCCCACTAGACCGGGGTCCCCAACTCCATGTAAACAGGGTCTTACTTGCGAGTCTACTCCCAACAGACGCAAAATATTCATTGACCAGGTTAGAAATGCGTGAAGTATCTTTGACTTCCTTATTGTTATTGTTTGGGTCTTTAATTGCAGTAATAGTTTTGAGTTTTTTCTAGCGGCAAAACAATAACTCATTAATACCTGCCCACGTTTTTTATATATTTCAGATGTTGGCTTCAAAGTAATCACTGTCAGTATACACTTAATGTGAGATCCCGAGGGAAACAGTTAGTTTTGTTTTCCCAAGAGTCCTGATGTTTCCCGAGACGAAGTCGAGGGAAACATCAGGACTCGAGGGAAAACAAAACTAACTGGTTTCCCGAGGGACCTGACATTAAGTGTTTTGTTATATTTCTACACTTTCACTTCAACAGCAACAAAAGAATAACCGGAGCGAACCAAAACAGTCGACTCGGTACTTATAACAACACAAATTTAATTCTCAAAACCACTGAATGAATGATTTACAAACAAAAGTACTTTCCTCATATTATCTGCATCTTTTTCCTCCACTAGCTGCTGTTTTTCTTCTGGGAACTTCTGGGATAACTTTAAAAATCGTTGCTTTATAGCTTGAGGCTTCGTTTTTGTGTTGTTGTGTTCATTCACGAAAAAGAAAACTGGCTGGACCTGGCGGTGTTTTTCCCGCCTTCTGTCACACCACTTTCCACCATGCTTTGATCACGTGCTGCAATGTATCCCGAGCGGATACATTGTTTAATGTATCACGATCGGGATACATTTGATTTTAGTCAAGGCCACGTGACCAAGAATCAACCAATGGCAGTCCCTGTTTAGTTGAGTGAAAGTCTAGGAATGTAACAATAGTAATTATTTTTGCTGATACGCATTAGACTTGAAATTTTAATTCTATAATATTTATACCTTGCTTTATCGCCTGATGCGTAGAGTTTACTTTTCATCCTTATAGATACCTCAGTTAAGCCAGTGGTAATCCAAGGCTTGAAGAGCACTTTTCTTTTGCGATTAGATATTTTTTTCATGGGAGGACGTTTTTAACCACTGGGTTGAACTTGTTACAAAAGGAGGGAAACAACACGTCCACATTATTTTTACCGCTGCTAAGAATGTCATCCCAGTGAACATTGGAAAGATCATCACTGAAGCAAACAGCAGAGAATTTTGAGTAGTCGCGAAGCTTAATACTTTTACCTTTGAATTTATCTATCGCTGATTTTATAACACAAACTTGTGAAAAATGGTCGCTAATATCCGTAACAATATAATATTACCACAAGCAAGAATTTTGTCTGGGTTATTAACGAAAATCAGAGCCTCGGTCACCCTAATTGATATGGCATGAACCCTTGTAGGCTTATTACCTGTTGCAATAAGATAGCAGCTCTGTAGGTGTATTAAAAAATTGACTGAAGTGGGATGTCTCACATTTAAGCAGGTCTTCATTCAAGTCGCCCATTCTATATAAAGTTTTATTAGTGAAAGCAAACTTTTCAACAGTTTCTTCGAAATAGGTCTGAAAAACTTCAGGAGAGTTGTGTTGACGGTAAATGATTCCACATATTACAGTCGGCTCTCTCTTAACGGACACCTCTATAAGACGGACACCTAGAGTTGGTCCCTGCCTTTCTTTACTCCCTTTAGTTGACTCTATATAAGACGGACATCTCTCTAAGACGGACACTTACTGCCGGTCCCAAAGGTGTCCGTCTTAGAGGGAGTTGACTGTATATTTTTGTTCGGACAACTTCATTATTGGAAAACTTGTCAAATGATTTCTTGAAGCTTTGTGGGGTGAAATACCTAGAATAAAATTGTTGATTCGGAAGGTTGTAGTCCAATTTGAGATTTGCGTTGAAATCAGAATTTAATTTGAATGGATCTAAATTGTGTAGGCTCGATAACTTATCCAACTTTCTTCTAGATTGCGAGGAGCAAGCAACTGAGTTGTTAAGACGGCCAAGATGCAAACCTAAATTTAAAAAAACACTACAATTTACAATTCATAACAAACCACTGCAGCAACATTTTGTCCAAACTGTTTGAAAACATTCCCTTCTGGATCTCTTCTTCCCCAACAAATGATTCTGGGATTTCACAGACGGCAGGCCAAAGCGAGCTGTTGTTTTACGCGAACAATGTTTCCGATAACGTGTGTTTTCTCCGGTTTCAGTTCTTTTAATCCTGAGAAATCTGTGAATTTTTTCGCAAACTTTCAAACAGGCTATACTTTTAAGATACCTGCGAAAGGTCCAGCTTATTTAACGGTGAGATAATCGCAGATATACTTGTATTTTGTTCTGATATTGAATATTTTCAACTTGTGCATAAAGCGTCCGCGAACAGCCATGATCGTGGCGAACAGCTGAACTTCATGTACTTTGTATGTACGAACACACGAAACGACTCCAAGTTCTGCTGCCCGTCTGATTGGACAAAAAAACACAGAAACGTTTTCTGGCACCAATCAGGAGCCAGAACGGCCGCGACCGTTTGGAACTTGTCTGGTAAAACATTGTCCCCAGGGGCTCTTCGGCCCCGTTCTTTACTTTTCTTCAGGCCATTT